TTTTATAAATAAAAAATTGTGTCGTTCATACCTAGAGTAGTGGCATTTCCGGCTTAACAACTACCCATAAAATTTTTGATTTTTGCAGAGTAAAAATTACCAGAATTAAAAATTTGCCCCTTCTATCCATCAAAAATTGTTCGCAGTGGAAAATGCATCACAAATTAAAAATTGTAGGAGTAGTCTTGAAGCCAGAAATGCCACAAATGGCTCATAATTTTTTATTTATTTTTGCAGTGGAAAATGTTTCAAAAATCAAAAATTGCATGAGCGATCGTGAAACCGGAAACGCCACTACTCCAGGTCTGAATGACGCGTTAAAAAAAAATCCCCCAGTTTCAAAGATACACGCATGTTCATCAGAGAATCTCACACGCAATCTATAGTCCTTTTCAATTGTTCTTCCAAAAGCTCAAACGAACATGCGGAAACAGTCGACCAACTGTTTCCGATTGTACACAACAACAATAACAAAAGAACCGCACGCACAAGCAAGCACACCGTGAAACCGGAGACCGTTTCCCATGTTCAACAGCACGCGTATATACAGTGTTACAAAAGCAAAAACCTACATTTTTCTCTCCGGTATACTAATTCCAGAGGAACAAGTGATGGTAATCTTAACCCGAGCAGCGAGAAACATATGCTTCTGAGAGTGCTCACGCGTAAGTGTTGCACGTGGAGCCGACTTTACTCGGCTGTTGCGGGTTCCGCAATTTAGTGCAAGCCCAAATAAACTTGTGCGACGCCCCGCTGCTAACCCCACTTCGTCTCCTCAACCGGCTCTCTCCTTAGGTCAGCACGCAAAAGTCAAACGTATTTTTTATCACTCTAAAATCAAATGAGATGCATCAATTATCGTCACGAAAAATAAAAAGCGAGCGAAAAAATTAGATGATATTTGCAATATCGCTTCTAGCAGATCAACAAACTAGCAAGGCGGAGTTGAGAAAAGGTGCAGTTCAGGGAGATGTGGGAAGGTCAGTCACATATTTTTCTTTGTTTGATGTATGACATTATATGGGGAGTGTCATGAAAAACATCAAAGTTCGAACACAATTATGCTTATGTTAATAAAATTAACAAATAACAAAAGTAATAAAAAGTAAAATAAAATAATAGTAAAATTATGTTTATAAAGTATAACATAACATGCGATACATGAATCCAAAATTCAACCGCTGTAAATTTCTGGAGCCGAATGAATCCCATTTTGTTCGCTCTTTGGACACGACGCAAATGCCGTAGATTTCTTATTAAATTTTTTTTGAGTATAAAAGTTTTAGTTTAGTATAAAATAAAATCTTCGTATTGTAAAAAACCTTTCCCACAGCCAATAAACGTCGTGTGAAAAAAGAAGCAGCATTACAACTTCGCAAAAAGAGCGTTCTCTTAACTTCAAATACTCGATTCAAAAACCCAAGGAACTTCACAGAATATTAGTAAATGAGCATCGTGAATTTCAGATCAATTCAGTTTACGGAAAACCATGTCAAATAAAACCAAATAGCTTTTCATTCATCATCGTTCGCTTCTGGCTGCAATTTAGAGATTTACTCTCTCTATTTTTCTTTCAACTTTCAAGGCTTTTTTTCTAGTGTAACAATCCAGAAATACTCGGAAGAAAATTAGCACCGCCTAAGCTATTTTTGTTGTTGCTCGGATTCAACAGATTATTAAGGCGTGATTCATGAAGAATGCGCCCATGAAAACAGGATTTATGACGACAATATTGCATAAAACTTTCAAAATTCCCCGAGAGTGGATCAATTAAATATAGTAGATGTATCCGCTGAAACAAGGTCAAGTCATTGAAAAATCCGAAGAGTTATAAATTTTAAAGCAAAAAACTGTGACGATGACCAGAAGAAGATATAAACAGCCAAAGAAAAGAACCAATTGCAATAATTTTCATTCGCCATTTTTGTTTCTTTTTTTCGAAACTTTTTTTGCCAAGTATTCGTGTTGAACATTTCTGGAAACAAATAAATTCACACAAACCCTTTTCATTTCAACAATAATCTGTTTGGGAGGAATTTCCAACCGATCGCAAGTTACGGAAAATAAAATATTTTCAGAAAGAAAGCATTTCATTCTGCTTAAAAAATTGTGCAAAATCCCCCCCCCCCGAAAGACCAGAGAAAAATACATTTAATTCACGTTAACTGAAATAATTGGTCATGAGAGCTAATAATGTTCCTCGTAGATTTCTTCTGTCTCGGCGCTTTTCATTCGTGTTTTTTTTCCTTCTTCAAAATAATAATAAATTAAATCCAAAATCCGAGGAAGCCATTCGAGTTTACGATCGCGGGGAAGATGATGTTTGTTCGTCCCTTTGTTAGCAAGTCAGATTTTGTTTTTCTTAACTCATAAAAATAAAAATAAAAACCAGAAAAAAAAACAGGAAGCGATGGCGATAAAAATATTCGTGACTGCCCAGCTGAGCGTTGCCCAACTGACAATTTCTGCAGATTTTCCATTTTTTCACGTTCGAATGCTTCGGGGATTCATGGATATTGGACCGTGTTTCAAAAATAAGGTCTCAAAATTGTCTTCATCATGATTTTCCGTCAATATAAAGCTTTCAAACGTAAATCACGATTCCAGTAATACCATAATGATAACTGGCATTAAAGGGCGCAAGAAAATGCGTAGTTTTTTTTTATTTTATTTTGGCATGATAATACACACACTTTTGGTCATTCGACAAACTCGGTTTGGGAGGCGCTGAGTTGCCCCAACGCTCAGTTATGTGGCGTCCACCAGAAATATTCGTCCTGTTTTTGTTTATCTCTCTTTGTTTCCCCCCTTTTTTGAGCCGCCACTTGGTTATGTACTCACCGTTCGTTTGAAGAGATTTCGGTGATCCGAGGGCCGGAAGTCCGAGGACGCATCGGACACGTTGCGCATGATGGTATTGGTGGCGCCGGGTGCGTTTCCGCCGCCGCCGCCGCCACCGCCGCCGCCGCCGAACGAATTCTGGTGCTGAATCATGCGGTTCCCGAGGCTTATCGGAGAGTCCGCCTCCTCGCCTGGCCTGAGTTGCAGCGGGTGCTCTGGTAAGTTTGCAAGCGGGCTGCAAAGCGGTCCGACGGAGAAGACTTTTAAACAGTTGTTAAATAGTTTGCTCGTAAGGTTTTTCCGTTTTTGTGCCTGCCTTGTTTTTAGCAACAACAAAGAAAAGGGCCACATTTGAAGCTGCTTTTGGGGTGTGTGAGAAAAGGCGGTGGGCTGAGCGAGCGGAAAATTAGATCCCACGCAAAGAGAGTTTTCTTCTTTATTCACGTTCTTGGACTCGACTCAAAAGACCGGAAAGTGGAGAAAACTTGCGCGAAGCCAAGATTATTCTCGTTGAAAGTGTAACAAACTGGTTTTCCTCAGTAGTCGCAAAAAAAAAAGAAGAGAATATTCAAACGCTGAATAATTTTCCTACCTTTCTCTTCTACAATTTTGCTTTTTTCCCGCACACACCCTCACGACACGGAATTGGTTCACACTAAAGCCTTAAATATCCAAACTAGTGAACAGGTACTTCGATAATAAATTACCAAGGGTACTTTAAAATGTAAATGTGTCGTGCATTACGCGAAAAATCTTCAACACATTTTTCAAGTGACCTTCCAACCCTCGGCACTCTAATTAGTACTTAATTGTTAACTAAATCCAAAAAAGAGGATAAGAAGTCAGCGATGTGCAGGTGTTAGCTCCGCAAGAGATAATTTACTCCTTCTACGTATATTTTCTTGATCCTAATTTTACATTAATAACCAAACTATATTGACTGTACTACCGAATTTATATACAGTACCACCAAATCACGAGTATTTCACAATTGAAGTTGACTGTCTCAAGTTAAATAAATGCCGGATGTTCTGTTTACCCTGCTTAACTTAGCATCAAATAATTAGTAAATCGAAACCCCGAAGCATCAATAGTTAGTAATTCAAAACCCTGGAGCGCGGTCCTATTGAATTTAAAAAAGTAAAAAATTGAATTACATCGTAATTACTCGATAATGCGACTTTCCGCAAAAATTTGATGAAGTATCAGGCAAATAAAGCATCGAAAGCGTCCTAAATTCAAACGTCAAGCGCATAATGATTTCTGCGGGCTTATAAAATTATTCGAGAAAAAAAAACCGAATGAAATTACACCATTGACGAAGTCACAATTTACATTTTTCAACTTGAGAACACGCAAATTAGAATCTTATTTTTCTGCTTGAAGTGTTGGCAGAGATTTGACGTAATTGTGATATTACTAAAATTAAAGGTCTGCTTCTTAAGGTAGCAAATGTAAAGAACGAAAGTGCGTAATCCATTCACAAGCGTAAAAATTTTAATTTTTAAAAGACATAAATTAAAACTTCCGCGTCTGAATCGATTATGCAAAATTTTCGAGTAAATATGGCGTGCATATACATGTATCATAGGGTTCACCCCCAAAAGAGAATAGATGAATAAAATTACAGTGCATGCAAGACGACCAATGTTGTAAAAAAACATATATATATATATATATATACAGTAAATCAGGAACATAAACTGACCCGCTGGGTTCGTTTGACGAAGGTTCTCACGGCCCAGGCCAAGGCCCCCGCTGCAGGGATAACCCCGACGATCCCGATGATGTAAATGGTCGTCGTGCTCGAGTTGCCAGAACCCTCTTTGCTGGAACTCGAACCCTCGCCCCGACCCACACTCGGGTTCCCACTGGCGATCGTGAACACGCCTTCCTTCAACCGGTTCCCCCGCGAATCCACGTGATCCGGGTACACAAAGTCCATCGACGCCTTCTTTCCAACTGTCGTTGTGGATGCCGACAACGACGGCGAAGATGACGACGACACCAGTGGGGGAGACGATGAGGATATTGAGGACGATGTGACAGCCCTGTCGATTTCATCGTCAGCGGCTCGCATTAAAATGGAAAATGCGTCAGTGTCGGTGGGTTTCGGTTCTTTGAGAACGTCAATGTCCGGGCCTTGGTGTCCGTTGTGATCATTTCGCAGTCCGTGNCACCGTTCGTTTGAAGAGATTTCGGTGATCCGAGGGTCGGAAGTCCGAGGACGCATCGGACACGTTGCGCATGATGGTATTGGTGGCGCCGGGTGCGTTTCCGCCGCCGCCGCCGCCACCGCCGCCGCCGCCGAACGAATTCTGGTGCTGAATCATGCGGTTCCCGAGGCTTATCGGAGAGTCCGCCTCCTCGCCTGGCCTCTCAACGTCGCCCACGAGACCATTCAAACGTTCGCCCGACGTTTCGCCAGGCTGCCTCTTCTGAAAATTTGTCAACAATTTATCAAACGAGCATTCCAAAAAGGCAAAAACACGGACGGAACAAAAACGCAACAACAAAGAAAAGGGCCACATTCGAAGCTGCTTTTGTGGTGTGTGAGAAAAGGCGGTGGGCTGAGCGAGCGGAAAATTAGATCCCACGCAAAGAGAGTTTTCTTCTTTATTCACGTTCTTGGACTCGACTCAAAAGAGCGGAAAGTGGAGAAAACTTGCGCGAAGCCAAGATTATTCTCGTTGAAAGTGTAACGAACTGGTTTTCCTCAGTAGTCGCAAAAAAAAAAAGAAGAGAATATTCAAACGCTGAATAATTTTCCTACCTTTCTCTTCTACAATTTTGCTTTTTTCCCGCACACACCCTCACGACACGGAATTGGTTCACACTAAAGCCTTAAATATCCGAACTAGTGAACAGGTACTTCGATTATAAATTACCAAGGGTACTTAAAAATGTAAATGTTGTCGTACTTTAAGCGAAAAATCTTCAACGTTCAACACATTTTTCAAGTGACCTTCCAACCTCGGCACTCAAATTAGTACTTAATTGTTAACAAAATCCAAAAAGAGGATAAGAAGTCAGCGATGTGCAGGTGTTAGCTTCTCAAGAGATGATTTTCTCCTTCCACGTACATTTTCTTGATCCTAATTTTACATTAATAACCACTGTACTACCAAATTTATATACAGTACCACCAAATCACGAGTATTTCACAATTGAAGTTGACTGTCTCAAGTTGAATAAATGCCGGATGTTCTGTTTACCATGCTTAACTTAGCATCAAATAATTAGTAAATCGAAACCCCGAAGCATCAAAAGTTAGTAATTCAAAACCCTGGAGCGCGATCCTATTGAATTAAAAAAAGTAAAAAATTGAATTACATCGTAATTACTCGATAATGCGACTTTCCGCAAAAATTTGATGAAGTATCAGGCAAATATGGCATCGAAAGCGTCCTAAATTCAAACGTCAAGCGCATAATGATTTCTGCGGGCTTATAAAATCATTCGAGAAAAAAAAACCGAATGAAATTACACCATTGACGAAGTCCCAATTTTCATTTTTAAATTTGAGAACACGCAAATTAGAATCTTAATTTTCTACTGGAAGTGTTGGAAGAGATTTGACGTAATTGTGATACGACTAAAATTAACGGACTGTTTCTTGAGATAGCAAATGTAAAAAACGAAAGTGCGTCTTCCATTCACACGCGTAAACATTTTAATTTTTACAAGACATGAATTAAAACTTCGGCATCTGGATCGATTATGCAAAATTTTCGAGTAAATATGGCGTTCATATACTTGTACATAGTCGGGTTCACCCCCAAAAGAGAATAAATGAATACAATTACAGTGCATGCAAGACGACCAATGTTGTAAAAAAATATATATATACAGTACATCAGGAACATAAACTGACCCGCTGGGTTCGTTTGACGAAGGTTCTCACGGCCCAGGCCAAGGCCCCCGCTGCAGGGATAACCCCGACGATCCCGATGATGTAAATGGTCGTCGTGCTCGAGTTGCCAGAACCCTCTTTGCTGGAACTCGAACCCTCGCCCCGACCCACACTCGGGTTCCCACTGGCGATCGTGAACACGCCTTCCTTCAACCGGTTCCCCCGCGAATCCACGTGATCCGGGTACACAAAGTCCATCGACGCCTTCTTTCCAACTGTCGTTGTGGATGCCGACAACGACGGCGAAGATGACGACGACACCAGTGGGGGAGACGATGAGGATATTGAGGACGATGTGACAGCCCTGTCGATTTCATCGTCAGCGGCTCGCATTAAAATGGAAAATGCGTCAGTGTCGGTGGGTTTCGGTTCTTTGAGAACGTCAATGTCCGGGCCTTGGTGTCCGTTGTGATCATTTCGCAGTCCGTGAGTATTGGCAGCTGGGGGCCACACCAACACAGTGTAATCATCGTCGACGTCTTCATTCGACGACGACGACACCTTTCCGACATTTTGCTTGCGAATTTCGTCTTGCTCTTCTTCATACAAACCAGTGGGTTTCAGTGTGCTGAAAAGCCCAGCCTCGTCAACGTGACCGAAGCCAGCAATGTCTCTTCCGCCAATATTTGTTGGCAAAGCATTTGTGCTAGCGGGTTCAGCAGACGTGGTGTCGTCGAAGCCGTCGCGGGATGCCTTGACTCTCGTCACTGTCGCTGCTGGTGGCAACACGTCACCATCACGATTCGGAATGATGGACGCATTTGGAGACCATAGGGTGTCGACGGGGACAACTGGTCTCGGTGTCGGATGAAACACGTCACCGATGCTCAAACGCGGATTGTAAGTTGTCACAACGGGATCGTATCCGTACTTCAAAATGGCTTCCAAAGTCTGTGGTGTCACTGCTGTTGGTGCGCTACTCGTAGTGAAACTGGTCGCTGTCGTCGTTGGCGTCGACGTGGCTGACAAAGACGACGGCTGCAACAAATTCTTGAGCAAATTGAGAATATCGTTGACCTGCGTGAGGTTCGTTTGCCGTCGGATGTCGTTGAGCACTTGCGACGCTCTGGACGAGGTTTTGTTCTCACTCACAACAACGTCGTCTTGTTCATTGTTGTTGTTGTTGTTGTTGTTGCTGAAATTCAGCAGGTTTTCCACGGGCTGCTCACTGGACTTGTTTGCCGGGATGAACTTTGTTTCCCCGATTTTGCGGATTTTCAAGAACAAATCCTTGATCGTGTGCGACGGAGTTGTTGTTGTCACTAACTCGGGGATCCGTTCCGAGACCACAGATGTCGCGCCAGTCGGGCTGAATGTCGTCACTGATGCAGTGGCGGTAGATGTCGGTCCAATGGTTGTTGTTGTTGTTGTTGTCGTTGTTGATGATGATGATGCATTGGCAGCAGCCATGCGACTTCTTTCCAAAATCGTCGGCCCGGTTCTCGGCTTGAACAATTCGTTCCTGTTCCTGTATCTTTGCAGGATGGAAAGCGTGCTTTTCGAGGCCCGCGGAATTTCCGGAGCGATCCCGTCTTCCAAGCTTTTCACCAACGGGATCCGGATCCTCGGGCGAGGGATTTGCGCCGTGGAAATCGGACGACTGTTGGTGATGGTGATATTGCGATGCGTGGGCACTGCTGGTGTTGAGAACACGGGCAAAGTTCGCCTGGGTCCATTAGATTTGAGTGCAGCCAGGAGACGAGGATTGATTCGATGTTGGGTGTAGATTTTTGAATCCGGGTCCGGGTTCTCTGCTGAAGACACAGGCTTGTTGCTGTTGTTGTTGTTGTTGTTGCTGTTTGTTCTTGAGGATTTGTCTGCCTGTGCTGGCTTGCGACCCAATGGGGCCCGGGTCTGGCCTTTGGTTCGGGTCAGAGACAAAAATCCTGGGTCTGCTTCAGGTGCGTGTTCGGATTCGATGGGTTCTGCTGCTACTGATGCTGCTTGTGGTGGTGGTGGTGCTTTGACATTGGTGCTGTTGTTGCTGTTGTTTTTGAGCTCTGCACCAGTTGTTTCATTGCTGGCAGTGGTTATTTCCAGGGACTGCGATTTTGCAGAAGACGAAGAAGAGCTCGTCAATCCAGTGCTGCCGCCGATTCTGGCCACGATTCCGGATAATACCGGCTTTCCGAGGGATAAAGTCTTGGGCAAAGTTTTGTTCCCAGGTGCATGCGAAGACTGTTGTTGTTCTTCTGGACTCGCTAATTTCCGATCCAGCGTCGAGAATCTTTCTCCAAACTCCAGTTTCCCGTCCCAACTTTTCGCTTCTCGGGAAGACTGCGGATTCGTGAGATTGGTGCTGGTGTGAGTGTCGCTGTCGCTGTCGACGATCGGCGTGGCTTTTGTTGTCGATACTGATGACGTTTCATTGTTGTTGGCCTTGTTTACCACTTTGTCTTTCCCGGCCTCTGTAATGGCTTCGATAATGATTGCGGTCGCGTTTCTTTTGTTCCGCTGGATGAGCGAAGAAGAAGAAGAAGGAGAAGAAGACGAAGACGGAGATGCTTTTCTTCCGTCGTAGGACGAGAGCAAGAGGAAGCGGCTGGAACGGAAATTGGCGCCGGCCGCCAAGCTTTTCCCAGGGTACATGTCCGCCTCCACGTATCCTAGACAAAAGAGACAGCAAAAAAAGGAAAGGTGCAAAATTAGGACTAGCATATAAAAGAAAGATGAATAGTCCAGGCATTTTTTTCGGAAATTGTATTCGCAAACACTTTATGATTCATACCAAGTTCGAAGCGCACAAACAGAAATCTGCGCAAGCATTTTTCTATCCTACGGGAACCGCGGAAGTGCAGGCTAAAACGTTTCGTGTATTCATGTTCAAAATGAATAATAGTCTGCATATTCTCTACGCAAAACAATCTTAAGAAAGAGTAATGAGAAAAATTGCGAGCATTTAAAAAATTTTTTTTACGGAAACCACGCGAAGCTGCAGCTAGGGGGAAAGTTATTTGCTTTTTCTTGACCGTACAGTATTTTGGAGATTTCGAAATAAATGACCAGAACCGCATTTCGTTTTCGAGGAGCTGCGTCATATGCGCAGGAAAATTGATTTTTTTCCTTTAGAGTCTAGATGAATCGGTGTATGGACTAGAAAAAAACTTATTTGAGAAGTCCATTATCCAAAAAGTCAATTGCCTGAGCAAAGCAAAAATATTTGATATGGGCAACAGTTCCACAGTCCTTGCAAATTACAATCGATAATCAAAATTAAATTGTTCAACATGAATCATAAAGGCATAAATAACATCAACAAAATCGAACACAGTAGAAATAAAAAAATGCTCAAGGTAATGGACAATTCCAAAAACGAGTTCAATGCCTTGAAAGAATCGCGGTGGCAGAAAATTTTCCGAAATTTACAGATTTCTGTTCGACGGAGAATATTTTTCTAGAGGTCCATATCAATTTCTAAAGGTCCTTAATCCAAGTAGACAATTAACTGAGATAATCAAAACTACAGTTTTCTGTACTTGTGATGGGTAATCAATTCTAAATTTTTCGAAAGAGTCACTTGAAAATCTTTGTTACCTTTTGTTTTAATGTAAAATTAATAAAGAAAACAATCATAAGCATTGTAACGAAAATCACTGTCCAGCAGGACAATCAACCATTTCAAAAACGGTTTTATTGCCGATAAAAATGTATGCTAGAAGAAAAAAAAACATATTTTTGTTCGAACGACACTATCTTTTTAATCTTCAATTTCTATGGATTCGAAAGCAAGCAGACACAGTTCCGTACAATGCTCCAGAAAATCGACAATTTAAATTTAAAAAAGGGGGTTAATTGCCTTTCCAAAATTCTTTCGGCGGAAAATTTTCCTATAAAAATATGCGTTTCGTTCGAGGAGCAACCGCATTTTTTCAATCAGTCATTTCTGTGGATTTTGAAAAGAAAAATGTTCCTCAGGAACGAAACGAGAGCAACGAGGGTTTCTTGTTGCATGATGGACACAGAGCAGATGTCCCTGCTGGTCGCTGAAAGGAAGTCAGCTGGAAACACGGGTCTTTTTTCCCCCCTCATTCCAATCATTTCTTTCCATAAGTCTGCGCCTCACGAATACTGCAATTCAAAATCAGAAAAAGGAAAGACGGCTTACTTTCCGTATTGCACATGCTGCTGGCTGATGACCAACGGGAGAAAAAAAAACTGCTTAAAAATAATTTAAAATAAACCGAAACGACCAAGATTTCTTTTTTGGTCCTCCCGTTCGTTCATCAGGTCAGCAAAGTCGTTAGCGACGAATTGAGAAAAAATCAATGCAGTATTGTTCTTTCACGTGACGCTGCGACTTTCTATACGACGAGAGAAACAAAATACAAATCGATCGACTGAATTTAATGGAACATCCTCGGGGACTGAGTGAATTTACGCATTTTGAAGCAAAAATAGTGAACCCTGAATAGAAACGTTGAAGACGAAAAACCCTGGCATCATTCCACAAACATCAAGTGCTTGGGTCCAGAAAAGGTGAAGAAACCTTCATTTATTTATTTATTTATTTTCAGGTAAAATACCAGGATGATTCATTCACAAATAAACCAACAGACAAACGAGAGACAGCAAGCACTGAATAAAATTTCGTCAAGTGCGACAGTGTGCAGATTCATACCGTAACAGGTTAATGAACACCTCGCATAACGGACTTTTTTTGCATTGTACAATGAACGCACGCTGCAACGGATGATTACTTCACGCAACATCTGCCTCGGACAATGGACAGCAAAGAAAGTTATTATCCTTCTAAAATTTGAATTTCAAGTGATAAATATGGCTGTCGGTGTAATTTTTCTCCAGAAAAAAACGAACCTTCCTCATTAAAACGAATAATATAACGTTCAGGACTGAATGCCGTTTTTTTACTAACGAACATAAAAGACTTTTAAATTGGTGAAAGAAATCATAAAGGAGCTTTCTGGCGGATCATGAAAAGATTAACAATTCAAAAACCTAAAAATTGCTTGGGGGATATTTTAGGGGCCTGGAAGCGATAAAGCATTCTATACACTAATGAGTCTAATCAGGTAATAGAACAGCAAAAATTAACTGAAATTAGGAGTCAATCGTCAAAATCCTTGCCTGTGTTCTGGAAATTCTTGAAAGTAAATGAAGAGAATTACGCACCTGATTTTTTGTTTGGGTTTACTTTCAGTATTGCTGTTTAAATTTTTAAACTTTGATTCTTGGATTCATTCATTATAGGCCCCATCAGAGCAATGTAGTAAATTATGTTCGTTTCGGAAGGTCAATTAGGAACGGAGGAGTTCATTAACTGAGGCATGGCGCAATTGTTTATATGCGCCGAAATTTAGAGATAAAGCTAGGCATGATTCCGAGACTGATTTTCGCAACAAAGAACGCAAACTGCCCTTTCTCAACTAGGCAGAAAATTGCGTGGCCAAAAGACAAATGTAGGAACAACTTTCTGTGCAAATGTTCGCTCGCATTTCGCCAAGGTGCACGTTATGTTTTGTAATATCTCTCGTAATTACTTCGTGGAATGTAATTGCGAAGCCAAAAAGGTACCACAGGAGAAGCTAATCAGCATTCATGATGCCAGTCTTTTTTTTTTGTTGCTTCGCATCAAAGTGAATTACTCGTATTTACCCGAATGTTGCTTCATTTTCTTATCGGGAACATAAACGGTTTCTTCGAGACTTCCTAGCGTCGTAAATATTTGCACAGAGCTCGCTAATATTGTGCAATGTCTTCACAAACAGCTGCTGCCGAAAAAGCAAAACATTATTTAACCTTGCGAAGGGGGGAGAAGAAGGGTAGCTTTGGTGATGCAAATTTGCCTTCAGCTGAAACGGCGTCAAACAAAAAGACTGCATATACACTTGGACAGCTTAGAACACTGGGAAAAAAAGAAGCTACTTTTTTGTCGAGTCATGCAGTCATAAGCAGTCGAAACAATTCGTCATTTACTCAGCAGAAAATTTTTTTTCTCCTATGCGCACGAGCATCACGGGGAGGTGTACTTAACGAGTTTATTCGACGTAGTGACGCAATACACTTTCAATAAGAAACCAAAAACTGAGAGTTAAATCGATGCCAGGAGTTCCAACATTGCGCAATTTCTGGACGATCTATTCAATCAACTGAAGATAATCAAGATTTGAAGAAAGGAATTTCATAGAGCACGACATTCCACTGAAATGTTTTGAGACCCCTACGACGTTTTACCAAAAATGAGCCCTTTTTTCATTTCATTTTCAAAAAACGAAGAAGCGAGGTTGTTATTAGGGTAGGTTCTATTTTCAGGCATAATCAAGAATACTGTGTATCCTCGAGCGACAAATCTGAATGATTTTAAATGTTTTAAATTTGGAAAGAATTGTTCCCAGAAATATTCAAAAGGCAATCCTGGAGAAAATTGAATAACCCCGTCTTGACTGATTTTCAAATAATATTGATTTACACGTCGAGTTACAAGCAGGTTTCGTTCGATGCGTTCATTCTACTATCGCACTAAAATTCAGCAGCAGGAAAACCCTTAGTTTTCCAGCTGGAGTAAAAATCGTATTTCCCTCTAAAAGATAAAAATAAAATATTTACGAACTAAGAAAATTTTAAGCATTGCAAAATTCAAAAGCACAAAAATGTAAAGGAAGCGATTCAGTATACTGCGTCCTTCAGTTCGAAGTTCCATTTCCACGAGAATCAATTACTGTTCAAAATTCCAAAATAACATTTCATTGCCTACACACAAACAGATATTCCATGTTTATATCGTAAATCATTTTGAATTTATTGGAACGTATTCTCAGGGTAGGCATTATTTACGGTAGCTTCTTGAAAGATTCGAACATTTTTCATTTTATGATTGCATTTTGTCGATCAGTAAAGGCAAACGAAGACCCTTTCTATAAATTTAAAAAACCGTGCCTGCGAAAAATAACACTAACAACAAATATTAACAAGCCTTTAAAATATTAAACCAAATATGGCATGGAATTCAATTGTAAATCTATCATCGAAAACATTCCATATTTAAGCATTCTCTTCCACTTCCAAATTCTAAAAATTCAGAAATATTGTGCATGGAAACATCGCGGAAATTCGGAGGCCACAAAAGAAGAAAAATTGAGAAGTTTTACTTTAAAAGCATAGAACTGCTTTTCAAAAACCCCAGTACAGTACTGTACCTTCAAGAACTGAACGAGGAAAGCCGCCTTTTTTTTGAATGCAACACGGCATTTCTTGAAATCTTTTCTGAGACAGGTGCAATATTTTGGGTTTATCGTCGATATTTCGACCAAGCTGTTAACTTTCAAGTTTATGTCTAAAACATTTCAATATCCAAAAGAACTTTTAATAACCCGTTGGTATTCAGACATTTGCTGAGAGACCATGAGAACAAGTCCACAAAAAAAACTGCTTTGAATTTCCAATAACCATGGAAGGACGTTAAAATTTCAATTTCTACCAACCAAAGAAGTGGCAATACAGCCTTGAGAAATGGTATGGAAATCACTGAGATTTCAGCTCTTGGAGATACTGCAGTTGAAAATTATATCGAGCTAAAGCGGGGCAAGCGAATGAAGCAAAACTATTAAAACCACATTTTTTTTGCATGATGAAGATTAAATTCAGCAATCAAGAAATGACGGCCTCTCGTCTCAAGAAGCACGAGTCTCGATGGAAAGGAGAACGACGAGATGTTGTCTTTGACCATCTCTTCAAGCTTCTTCTAGGGAATCGTTCGACCCAGTTTCTCCTCCCACACTTCACACGTGGTCATCAAGCCGTGATTTAGCCCACAAATGGGAAGAATCAGTAAAAATCAAAAGGGAAAAAAGAAGAAGCCCATCTTCTTGGCTTCAAATCGAGCCATGACCACAATACCACAAGAAAAAAAATTTTCTTGAGAAACCGGTCAACGAGAAGCTAAGAGGCACACTTCACTACATAGTTCTGATAACACCTCTGTTTTTAACCGGATATCGTTCGTGGTTTGATGCGTGTAAAATTACGAAAGTTACTCTGATGCACTCATACTTTATATACACCAGGGGCAATTTCAGCAAAAAATCCCTGGGACGAAACAGTTTTCCGCAATTTTCTCCAGCGCTAAATTTTGTACTAGAAATTTTCAAAAAGAACTTGACCACTTCTGCGTTGTTTCCAAGTCTTCCAATATCTCCCGAACTCAATAAAATTCACGAAACGTATGCTGAACCTCACTTTTTTTTCTGAAGACATTTAAAATGTGTCAGAATTTTACGAGGGGGGTGAGACGAAATTTTTCCCCTGAACCATGAAAATATTCGGCTTTTATATTCTCAAGGACCCGATCAGATTTATGTTTCTTACCGTACATCATAAATTGCGGAATCGACACAGGTATTGAAACGTCGACCAATGTGAAATCACAGAAATAATGCTACGTGATAAATGTTTCAGCGTGATTTGAAAATTGTCTAAGAAAAAAAAAAAGAAACGAACAATGATTTTTCATTTGGGATTGAACGGAGAAGAAAATAGGGTAACACATTTTTAACAGGATTCAAATTTATTTCAGCCTCCAGCCTGATTTTGAAAATTTTTAAATCTTGACGATTAAAAAAAAAAGAGCTACGAAATCCACGCTGCTGAAGCTTCAAAGCTTCATCACCTTATGAATAAAATCGAAACATAAATTACAGGAAATGTACGGCAATAAAAAAAAAAAGACGTCTTCCATACGGTACACTTGGAAGAAGATTTGGAGCCAACCTTTCCACAAGGACGACACATTGCATTGCATTGTCCCCTTGTTGAGTTGATGCTTTGTCTCCTATATAAAGCGAACTCCTTCAGAGGAGCCTTGGTCCTCTCGACAATGATTTTCAAATGAGCGATCGTGATTCGATTCAACGAGTTCGTTATTTTCATTTGATGAATATCGGTGGCTGAATTAAAGGCCATGAATCATTCAACAGTCGTGTCTGTCCTCGGGGAAATTACATCAAATATGAGTGGCATAGAGCGACACAGAATGTTTATCATTTCCAAACAGCGCAGAATGTCCATCAACTGATCAAAAGTGAAGGTACCAATCGATCCTCTCCAAGTCGAATTTCAAGGGACCCGCAAAAAAGTTTGACTTATCGGGAGGTTTTGAATTGATGAG